CCAAATTAATCAATTTGCTCTTACCATTCATGGTCCTTGGTGCATTGGAGGAGATTTTAATATTATTTCTAATGCTTCTGAAAGAAGAGGTGGTAATCTTCCTAACCCTCCTGCCATGGAAGATTTTAATGCTATGATTTCTGATTGCAATCTCAATGACATTGGTTTTGTTGGTAGTCCTTTCACGTGGAATAGAGCTACTTTGTGGCAAAGACTTGATAGATTTCTCTTCAATAATGATTGGCTCTCTATGCAAAATTTAACTTCTGTGGAACATCTTAGCAAAACTCTATCTGATCCTTCTCCTTTATTATTATCTCTTAATGCTAATAATTATGTTGGTAATGCTTCCGTTAGATTCCAAAATATGTGGCTTTCTCATGATGATTTTATGAATGTTATTAACACTAATTGGTCTGCTCCAGTTTATCCTGATAATAATATCTCGGGCATGTGTCGTCTTTGGTCCAAATTAAGTCGTGTTAAGCAAGTTTTAAAATGGTGGAACAAAAATGTCTTAAAAAATATTTTTACCAACATCAAGAATGCTGAGAATGTGGTTATTGAAATGGAAAATACTTACTTACAAGATGCTTCTTTTGACAACCTTAATATGCTCAATACTACTAAGAATAATCTTGCTCAACTTCATGATCAAGAGGAAATTTTTTGGAGACAAAAAGCTAATGCTAAATTTACTACTGAGGGGGACAGAAATACCAAGTTCTTTCATGCTTTAGCTAATAGAAATAGATCTAAGAACTACATTTATAAAATTATGAATAATGATGGTACTTTTATTGATTCAGAAACTTTAATTTGCAAGTCTGGTGTGGATTATTTTAAGGATGCTTTCAATGATAACTTTTGCAACATTCCTATTACTAACCCCTCTATTATTCCTAAACTCATTGATGAGAATGATAATCTTTTGCTTTGCTACCCTCCCTCTGAGTTGGAAATTTTCAATGTTCTTAATGATTTAAATGGTGATTCTATTGCTGGTCCCGATTGTTTCACGACCAAATTTTTTCAAAAAATGTGGAGTATCATCAAAAAAGATATCATTGATGCGGTTAATGATTTCTTTGTTGGAAATCCTTACCTTAAGTTTTTTACTTCTACTAATATTGTTCTCATTCCTAAAATCAATGGTGCTAATAAGTGGAAAAACTTCAGACCTATTAGCCTTTGCTCTATTTTTAACAAGCTTATTTCTAAAATTATTTCTAATTGTTTGGTGAACATCCTTCCTAGAATTATTTCTAGTAATCAAACGGGTTTCGTGAAAAGTAGAAGTATCTTTGACAATGTTTTGCTTACCCAAGAAATGGCTCATGAGATTAATACCAAGTCTAAAGGTGGAAACATTATTTTGAAGTTGGACATTTCTAAAGCTTATGATAACCTCAACTGGAATTTTCTTTATAAAGTGCTTTTGTTATTTGGTTTTAGTGATGTTTTCATTAACTTGATTAAGAATAGCATTGAGAACTGCTATTTTTTTGTTATCATTAATGGGAGGAACCACGGTTTCTTCAAATCTTCTAAAGGATTAAGACAAGGTGATAATTTATCCCCCGCTCTTTTTATCATTGCTATGGAGTTTTTTTCTAGGGGCATTGATGACTTATATTTAAGGAATCCTAAACTTTTCTATCGCACTATTCGGGGCATTCCTATTTCTCACCTTAGTTTTGCTGACGATTTCATCCTTTTCTCTAATGGCTCTATTAATAATATTAGATTGTTGCATAACTTTCTCGATTATTTCAATAAGGTTAGCGGTTTAGACATTAACAAGGATAAAAGTTCTTTCATTGCCGGCAAGTCTATTAACAGGGATAGGATTATGGCTATCCAATGATGATGTGGTTTCCATTCCAAATCCTTGCCCATTACTTATTTGGGTACCCCGATTTTCATAAGTAAAAAGAGAAGTCATTTATTTGAAGATATTTTTGCTAATTTTAAGAAAAAATTAAATCATTGGTCTTCTAATTTTCTGTCTTTTGGTGGGAGACTGGTTCTTATCAAATCTGTTTTAAACTCTATTCATGTCTATTTATTTCATACTCTTCAACCTACTACTTCTATTTGCCTTAGAATTGAAAGAATGCTCAACAAATTCTTTTGGTGTTCAAAGTTTAGTAATGGTATTCGTTGGGCTTCTTGGAACAAAATTTGTGGTGTCTTTAAAGAAGGCGGATTAGGTTGTAAAAAAATTTAACGGACATGTCTCAGGCATTTTCCCACAAACTTTGGTTCTCCTTCAGAACTAAATCCAATTTATGGGCTCGTTTTATGCATGCCAAATACTGTAAAAACTCTCATCCTTTACTTGGTGAGTACAAACCTAATGACTCGTGTACCTGGAAAAGACTTTGTAAAATTAAATGGCATGCTGAGCAATTCATCCAATGGGGTGTTGGTAAAGGCAATATTTATTTTTGGCAAGATAATTGGTTGGGGCCTTTTTCTATTAATAGTCTTTTGCATACCCATTCTCTTGATAGTACTAAAGTTTCTGAATTTATTTTTAATGACCGCTGGAATGTGACTAAGCTTTTAGATTGTATCCCTCCTATTATCATTGATATGATTATGGGAATCCCCTTAGACTTATCTTGTAATGACAAAATCCTGTTTAAACTTTCTTCTTCGGGTAAATTTCAAATTAAAAATGTTTGGGACACCTTTAGAGATCATTATGTTTCATCTTTTAATTTTGCTACTTTATGGCATTACAATATTCCTATCTCTTATTCTATTTTAATGTGGATATGCATTAAAGGCTTCATTTCCGTGGATGATTTACTTCAGAAAAAAGGGTTTAGCTTTCCTTCCAAATGCCAATATTGTGCTAGTATTGAAACTATTAATCATCTTTTTGTTAATGGCCAAATTGCTCAAAAGGTTTGGTATCATTTTTCTAATTTGACTAATGACAAGTTTGATTTTAATATTAATGATTTATCTAGTCTTATTAATGGTTGTATGACTCCTTCTAAAGGCCATATTCTCAATTTATTGCCTATTCTTATTGTTTGGCACATTTGGAAGACCAGAAATGAAGCGAAACATAATGGAATTAAGATGAATGCTGATTTTATCATCTCTAGTATTAATTGCAAAGTTAGGAATCTTGTCTCCTGTAACCTTATTCTGGCTAAACACTTTACCAATTGCAGAAATTTTGTTGCTGCTCTTGGCATTCAATTGGGTGATAGGAATTTTAATGGTTTTGATAAGTTTGTTTGTTGGATCAAATCGAATTAGCCTTATGTTAAATTAAATTCTGATTGTTATGTTAAGGATAACTGTACGGGCATGGGAGGTATAATCCGTGATCATCACGGTAATGTTCTTGCGGCTTTTGTTGGTCCCCTTAACACTTGCTCTGTTATTACTGCTGAGCTCAATGCTTTATCTTATGGAATCGAAATCTGTTCTAAATGGGGTATAATAACATTTGGATTGAGGTGGATGCCCAACTTGTGGTCCATATTATCAATGATCAGGTGGCTGGTAACCCTCAAAATTTCTATCTCATTAGGAAAATTAAACAGCTCTTATCTTCTGTCAATTATTCTATTTCTCATATTTATCGTGAGGCTAATGCTTGTGCGGATTGGTTGGCCAATTTTGGGTGCTTTTTGGACAACTGTCAAGATATCAACATTAACTCTTTACATCATGTTCTTAAAGGGATGATTAACCTTGACAAAACTGCTTTACCTTATATTCGCCATATTTAACTCTGTTTTTTACCTTTGTTACATTCTAGTTTTGATGACTTTAATTGCTTACTGGTTTGCTATTCTGGTTATCATGCTTATCTCTGTTAACTACCCGTATTCTGTTTTGATGCATTTGCCTGTTATTTGGATGGAAATTCTGTTTAACTGTGTTGCCCCTCCCGTCTGGAATGAGCATGGGAATCTGTTACACCTCATTATCGTTGATTCGTATCATCCAGGGAACCTTGGTAGTACTATTTTGCTTAGATACCCTGTTTGGGATTTACAAGATCTTGCTTTTGATTTATATACTACCTGTTATGATCTCTATATTAAGCATAGTATCCTTATGGATTGTTTTGACATTCCAATTATCTTAGATATCCTGTTTTGGGTGTACTGCTTTCCCAGGTTTTGTAGAGCTGATTGGTGTATCTTTTTACATGGTTTACATCTCTTAAGTTGGTTTTCTTGCCGGCATCCCCTCGTTTATCCTGCTATGTTTAATGTCCATTGGAATTCTGGATGGTCTTATAACTGTCAATTATTTGATGAACTTTTGGTTTTGAGGGAATTTTCCTGTCAAGATTAGTATATGGTCATCTGTATTAATTGGATTATTAATTGTTTTTGGTTGAAGGAGGTGCACTATTTTTGGTTTAAGGACATTAGCAAAATCCACACTCTCTTTCAATTCTATAAGTACTGGTGCCTTAATGTTTGTTTATTGAGAGTCTCTTGCAGGACACAATCTAATCGGTCTATGGGGAGCTTTTTTGCCTGTTAGATTCTCTATTTTTCTTTTTTGCATTTCTTTTCCATTGTTCTTTTGCTTTGCAGGAAGACGGAGCTCAATGATGATAATGGGATCTTCCTTTTTTGGGTGCTGCTTGCTCACAGCCCTAGTTCGTACTCTTGTTCTTTTTGTAACTGTAGGAAAAGGAATCGTGGGCTCTTAGGTTTTTTTACTTTCTTTTTTACTGTAGCTCTTTGGAGCATTAGCGAGCTGGTGGGTCCTTCTAAGGACCTTGTAACCGATTTTTGAAATTAACACGTAGGCCCCTCCGTGGGTTTAAACCAAAAAAAAAAGAAAGAAATAAGATTAATATATTTTCATGAGTTGAAATCTACTTTAATTATATCATTCAAATAAAGGAGAAAAATAATATAAGATTACTGTTCTATCATATTTTTTTTGGCTTGAGACCTACAAAGTTGAAAACATTAAAAATAGTTCTAGCCAAATAATAATAATAATAATAACCATAACAAAAGAACAAATAGAGCAACAAATAGAGCATTCACATCAAATTTGAAACAAATTGTGGCTTGGAAGCATCGTATCCACATTGCTATAGTATTTACTTTGATTGAGATTGCTTCAATAAGACTCCACAATTATTTCCATGCTTAGCAAACAAATTAAAAGATTGGAATCAAAACAAATTAGAAGATTGCTTCAATAACTCATTTAGCATACCAGAAGATTGGTTGGTCATGTGCTGAATTGCTGCCTCTGTTTGCAAAATTTCAACACTTGTAGCCACTGAAGTATTTGTACAAACATCTTCTATGCATCGAGCTGAGTGAATGGTGTCATTGGTGGTTCTTTTATTATAAGTTCCACGATTGTTTGGATCTAGAAAGTGCTGATTAATAACCATTGTAACCTGCATTGCATTAGCATCAACAAGATGAAATAGGGTAATTGTCTACACACTAGACATTGCCATATGCTGCACAGATAGAATTTCTGCCTCTGCATGTGAATTGGCTTACTGTTAGCTTTCAAATCATCCACGATTTCAATCTAATCAACCCAATTTCAAACACACGACACATCAGAAATGGATGGTTCATCACCTTCGCGCACACAGAACTGCTGTTTGCGATCGAGAACAATAGTAGCAGCATGAGACATCCGTCTGGACAACTGTCCAACCACACTCCTCTGCTAACTTGTCAGTTTCATCCAAATCACTATTTTCAACATCAGTCGCATTCGCCTCGTTGAGCAGCAAGTCATGATCTCCCTATCTGTCACAGCTGGGTGACCTGATTCGAGACATCAGGAAGCCTAGAGGTATCAATATGGAGTTGCCAAAATCTCCTATGATGAAACTTCATGAAGGGTGCAGTTTTGATATAGAGAAGAAGGGTGCGGCTTATGCTACTAAAGGGCTCTGAAGGGACTTTCGAATGGACCCAGAGGAAGAATGAAGCACAAGTAGGACGGAAGCATGTAAGACGAGCAAGAGTAGAATGAGTCAATCTGCCACCGACTTGAATAGGAGGTACTGGAGGCTCGCTGAATGAACCTAGATGAATGATGGAACATAAGCAAGAGGGAAGTAAGACAAGCGGGAGTAAAATAAGTCAATTAGGGCACATGGGATTGGAGCAATAAAGAAAATTTTGACATCTGTAATAACAGCCACCAATAACTGTTGTTAAATAAAACAACTATCTATACATCTTTATAGTAGCGTTTAGGAAATCTCCACTATTAATTGTTGTGTAAACATCATAATTTTGGTAGAGATTATAATAATCTGGCAAATCAACTAATCCCTTTGGCAATTGGAAACCTTAGCCAATGGCCTGCCTAATTGGCCCTACACACTATCTCATTCATCCATGATCTTACTCTCAATCACTCATGCCTTACTCTTGATCGCCTGTTTGTGGTTGTCACACTTTCCTCCAATTGGACGTTCTCAGTGGCAAATTGAGGGGTGCCTACGGGGGCACGTGCCCCCCTCAGTAAATTAGAATAACTTTCCACCTCTTCGTATTAGCCTGCTTAAAAAAACCCTAATTTCTATGCCCGACTGCTCGTGCTCCAGAATTCTCCTCCCAGCAACATGATAGGGATGACTAGGGCACTCGCAACTCATTTTCTCATATGCATTTGGGCGGCCTTGTTCGAGCCTCCCAGCCTGACGGATGAAGCTTGAAAGAATGACCAGACTACCGCCCTGTTTGCCCCTCCCAGTCAGCTTGTTCACTGTTTGGCAGACGAAGGCTGAAGAGATGACCAAACCGCTGCCCTGTTTGGTGGCTCACTTTCTCCTCCACTCAAAATCAAAGGCGCAATTACATGACCGATCCATATTCGCTCATTTCATTCAGCCTCCACTTTAGGCTTTATGTAATCTAAATTTTTTCCTATAAGTTAATGTTTTCTTCTATTACATTCTTGATCACTTTTATGAGCTATTCATGCACTAATCTTTGTATTCTTTCTTCCACTGCATTCTTGTTGAATGTCGATTTTATGTGTTAACTAACATCGGACTTATAATTTGTAAAGATCTTGACCGGTTGACCTTGCAAAATAATAACTAGGCTTTTGTTATGGAGAAATATTTTAAGAAGATTTTACAGAGTTCAAATGAGACAAACAAAGAAGTTGAGGAGACAAATCGAAAAAAAATTCGCATGTAAGTTGAATCATCAAGAAATCAAGAAGTATATTTAGAGAACCTTCCATCTGATCCTAGTTTGTGAATTCCTATCTAAGAATTTTCTCCTAATATTCAAGATCAAGTTCGTCAGACTTACTTGCAAAGAGGACCATTGCAACCTCGCATTCATGAATTTTTCTAAAAATAAATTTGGGGCAAAGGAAAAATTTTAATCAATGATATATGGTTTTATAAATATTCTAATTGGTTAAAATACAACATATGCAAAGATAAGGCGTACTGTTTATATTGTTATCTACTTAAAGCGGGGGTAGAGGAAATGAGAATGATGATGCATTCAATAAGAATGGATTTTTAAATTAGAAAAAATCAAATAGATTTGAACTTCATGTTGGGAGTCATAATAGTGCACACAATATTGCACGACGAAATTGTGAAGACTTAATGAATCAAAGTCAACATATTGGTTTTATGTTTAAGAAGCAAACAAATTATGCCACAACTGCATATCAAACTCGTTTAAATGCTTTGATTGATTGTACGTGTGCGTTTTCTTTTAAGGCAAGGACATGCTCTTAGAGTCGATGACGAGTTTGACACATCTAGAAATCATGAAAACATTCTTCAACTATTGTAGTTTTTAACTGAACATAATAATGATATAAATAATGTAGTGCTAAAATGTGCTCCAAAAAAATTAAATTTAATTGCACCACAAATTCAAAAGGATATCACTAGAGCTACATCGATTGCCATCATTGATTTTATAAAGAAAGAAATTGGAGAAAACTACTTCTCTATTTTAGTTGATGAAGCACAAGACATTTTCTCAAAAGAGCAAATGATTTTTGTGGTGTGATTTGTTAACAAAAAAGGTTAGGTGGTTGAATGTTTTCTAGGCATTATTTATATTCCAGATACAACGACTGGAAGTCTCAAAAGATATATTAAAGAATTACTTTCAACTTATGGTTAAGTGTATCCAAATTATGTGGTCAAGGATATGATGGAGCAAGTAATATGAGCAGGGACTTTAATGGGTGAAAGGCATTATTTCTCACTAAGAATAAGACAGCACATTACATTCATTATTTCATACATCAACTTCAATTAGCCTTAGTATATGTTGCAAAAAATCATGTTCAGATTGCTCTCTTATTCATAATAATTGTAAATATGATGAATATTATTGATGTTTCATGCAAGTTTTGTGACCAACTTCGAGATAAATAATGGGAGAGGACTTTAATGGAACTACATAATATAGGACTAGTAATTGGACAAGGGTTGAATCAAGAAAAAACTCTGAAGCGGTCAGGTGATACATGATGGGGATCACATTATGAATAAATTATTAGTTTGATTATAATGTTCCCCTTAGTTATTGATATTTTACAAGTGGTTGTTGAAGATTGTACGTATAAGTTCTAAACAGAAAAGTGAGGCATTCACATTATTAGGGACATTACAATCTTTTGAATTTTTATTTTTTTTACTAGTGATGAAGGATATACTTGGTATAACTGTTGAGAACTTATAATTTATTAATTTTCTAAAATAAATTTGGGGCAAAGGAAAAATTATTTAATGATATATGGTTTTATAAATATTCTAATTGGTTAGAATACAATATATGCAAAGATAAGGCGTATTGTTTATATTGTTATCTATTTAGAGCGGGGGTAGAGGAAATGAGAATGATGATGCATTCAATAAGAATGGATTTTTAAATTAGAAAAAATCAAATAGATTTGAACTTCATGGTTGGAGTCGTAATAGTGCACACAATATTGCACGACAAAATTGTGAAGACTTAATGAATCAAAGTCAACATATTGGTTTTATGTTTAAGAAGCAAACAAATTATACCACAACTGCATATCAAACTCGTTTAAATGCTTTGATTGATTGTACGTGTGCGTTTTCTTTTAAGGCAAGGACATGCTCTTAGAGTCGATGACGAGTTTGACACATCTAGAAATCATGAAAACATTCTTCAACTATTGTAGTTTTTAACTGAACATAATAATGATATAAATAATGTAGTGCTAAAATGTGCTCCAAAAAAATTAAATTTAATTGCACCACAAATTCAAAAGGATATCACTAGAGCTACATCGATTTCCATCATTGATTTTATAAAGAAAGAAATTGAAGAAAACTACTTCTCTATTTTAGTTGATGAAGCACAAGACATTTTCTCAAAAGAGCAAATGATTATTGTGGTGTGATTTCTTAACAAAAAAGGTTAGGTGGTTGAATGTTTTCTAGGCATTGTTTATATTCCAGATACAATGACTGGAAGTCTCAAAAGATATATTAAAGAATTACTTTCAACTTATGGTTAAGTGTATCCAAATTATGTGGTCAAGGATACGATGGAGCAAGTAATATGAGCAGTGACTTTAATGGGTGAAAGGCATTATTTCTCACTAAGAATAAGACAGCACATTACATTCATTATTTCATACATCAACTTCAATTAGCCTTAGTATATGTTGCAAAAAATCATGTTCATATTGCTCTCTTATTCATAATAATTGTAAATATGATGAATATTATTGATGTTTCATGCAAGTTTTGTGACCAACTTCGAGATAAATAACGGGAGAGGAATTTAATGGAACTACATAATATAGGACTAGTAATTGGACAAGGGTTGAATCAAGAAATAACTCTGAAGCGGTCAAGTGATACATGATGGGGATAACATTATGAATAAATTATTAGTTTGATTATAATGTTCCCCTCAGTTATTGATATTTTATAAGTGGTTGTTGAAGATTGTACGTATAAGTTCTAAACAGAAAAGTGAGGCATTCACATTATTATGGACATTGCAATCGTTTGAATTTTTATTTTTCTTACTAGTGATGAAGGATATACTTGGTATAACTATTGAGTTGTCACATGCTTTGAAAAAAAAAAGACATTATAAATGTCATGTCCTTAGTTCGAATATGTAAAAATAGATTGCAATATATGAGAGATAATAAATAAAAAGAGTTCATCACCAAACTTACTTATTTTTGTGAGCAATAGAAAATAGATATTCCCCATATAAATGATAAATGGGTTGCTCGGTGATGGCCTTGTTAAAGAGCTCAAGATATGAAAAATTTACTTCATTATTGAGATGAAATTTTCTACAAGGTTATTGATATGCAACTTCAAGAGTTAAATAATTATTTTTTAGAGAAGAATACTAAGTTTCTTTTTTTCAATTGCATGTTTGAATCCAAATAATACTTTTTTTGCATTCAGTAAAGATAGTTCAATTCAAACAGCACATCTTTATCCATGTGATTTTACCATGTTGAATTAGAAATTCCAGACAATCAGTTGAAAACTTATATCATGGATATGCAGTAAGATCCACATTTCTCATTATTAAAAGATATAAAATGCCTTACTGAGACAATGATACAAAATAAGAAGGATATAGTATATCATCTTATTTTTATGATATTAAAACTCGCTTTAGTTTTATCAGTTGCAACAGCAGGAATAGAAAGAGTATTTTCTGTAATGGCCATCATTAAAACTCAACTGTGAAATAGGATTGGAGATCAGTAGATGAATGATAATTTACTCATCTATATTGAGAAGCAAATATTGGATTATATTGATAATGATGTAATTATTAATCTTTTTAAAAATATGAAGAGTAGACTATATAAATTATAAGTGTTTTCCATCTTAGGTTTAGTATTCAATATTTAAAATAAAAAATTAAAACTACATATACCAGTCCCAATCCCATATGAAAAAAGTTGAGGATTTTTTTTTTAATTTGTGCCCCCTCTAAAAAATGTTTCTGTCTTCGACATTAGACATTATGAACCCTCATGCTATCTATTGATCGCATGCACCTTCCTATCCATGATAGCTCTGAGAGTGAACGTGTTCTACCTTTATAATTGCTTGGA